CAGTCAATCCCACTTGTGTCCATCAGCCAGGCTGGCACAATAAACTGTCTCACCATCCATCACAGGACCATGTGGAGTGTTGAAGTGTAAATGCAAACCGGAACAGGGACAGAGGCCACAAGAAGGCCAGGACCAGGGGTGTGGCAGAGTGAGCTAAAGGCACCACACATGCAGAGAGGCCTGGGTGCTGGCAGCAGGAATGACCCTGTCCGCACTCCCTGAGGCTCATTTCATTGGCCATTTCAGCTGTTGCTAAAATGGGTGGGTGTCCAGCCGGCTTCACCCTTGGGGCCACAGCTTTACTCTGTTCCCTTTGTGAACTGTAGCCACCTCTGCTACATGTCACACCTAGCTTAGGCCCATGGCGGGGACCTCCTGGTGCCGGACTGCCTCGGGAGGCAAACACGGCCAATTATTCACTGAGGAGTCAGCCCCAGGCTTGGGAGACTCAGCCAGCTTGATGTCAGGCCCAGGTCAGCACTCCAGGCTGTCCCTGAGGGACCACCGCCCTCTCTGCTCCTGCTCAGGGTCTAGGCCAGTCATTTCTGCAACGGTGCTGTGTACGTGTCCTGCATGTGTTTACTGGGCTGTCCTAAGTGTTTCATGCGTGCTATTGCCTGGTTGGTGCCTGGCCTTGTTCTCCATGCTAAGGATGCAGCAAGACCCAGAGAGAGAGAGGAGAGGTCCCTGGGGCAGGGTGATGGGCCCTGGGGCTGCTGCCACCAAAAGCAATGTGCCCACCAGGCTCGGCTGCCTTTTCCTCCCAGCACTTGTCACCATCTCACTTGCTGGGTGCACTTTGGATCTGCCTCAGTTACTGACGTGCGCCTGCCCTCTAGTTAGATGAACGAGTGGGTAGATGGATAGGTGAGCTGATGGGTGGATGAGGGGCAGATGACTAGGTGGGTGGGTGAATGGGTGAGTGAACCATAGGAAAGGGTGGATGGATGGATGATTGAGTGGGTAGATGGATGGCTGAGAGAGTGAGTAAACAGATGCATGACAAGGTAGGTGATGGGTGGATGGATGGTAGGTAAGTAGCTAGATGGATGGGTGGATGGATGGTGGGCATGTGGACGGGAATGGGTGGATGGTGGGCATGTGGACGGGAATGGGTGGATGGTGGGCATGTGGACGGGAATGGGTGGGATGGATGGTGGGCATGTGGACGGGAATGGGTGGCTGGATGGTGGGTAAGTAAACAGATGGATGGGTAGGTGGATAGTGGGCATGTGGTCAGGAATGGGCAGGTGGGTGGGTGGGTGGGTAAACGAATGGAGGAAGGGGTGAGTGCATGATTGCAATAAGCATTTGCCCAGTCGAGGTTATGGCTCCTGGAAGGAAAGGGTCCAAGGGCGAGGCCTGCAGGGAGACAGACGTGGGTGGGGGCGAACAGAGTGCAGGGCACAGAAGCTGCAGGAGCTGAGCAGAGGCTGGGGGTGGGGGTGATGGGGGTGTCCAGCTAGCGAGCGCCAGCTGTGGGCTGGGAAGGTAAGCCAGCCCCTCCTCTGTCACTTGAACACAGCCCAGGAGAGAGGGGGTAAACCGAGGCAAGAAGGGGGCTTCCCGGAGCCACAGACAGCAGTTGAGCTGGGACCTTGGTGATTCCCTCCGACAGGGCTTTCTTTTCTGAACGTGCAGAGAGGCCACGGCTCTTGGGGCCAGCCAGGCCACCGCCTGCTGCAGCACAGGTTTATGCAGGGTCTGGGGACACCCAGCTGGTTTTGTCACACACTCCGAGACAGTGCTCTCGCTCCACTGTGGCCGAGGTCCTGGCAGAGGGGTGGGCGGGCGTCAGAGCAGTGAAAATGTGCAGCCCACCCCACAGGTGAAGGAATTAAAATGTGGTTATCTTTAAGCACTTGAGATGGGCCTGCATCCCTAGGCCGGAAGGCTGGGCCTCTACCTCCTCTCTATCTAGGGTCACTGCTCGGCCCCACCCACGCCCCTGGGCTCCAGAGGGAAGGCCCCCCCCTCCCCCCAGCAGGGGGTTTAGTGTAGGGAGTGCCAGTGACAGCGGCCCTGAGCGCCCCCTGGGGGCCACCGGATGACAGCAGGGCAGAGGGGGACAGGCGGCCCAGAAAAGTTGTCTAGTTGGTTGTCTAGTAGGGAGGTTGGCACCAAAGGACAAAACATCAGGGGTTTCACAGAGGCCGGGGGAAACCCCACTTTAGTTCCATTTTTCCACAAAATTTTAGAGCCTCCATGCGCCAGTGGGTGAGAAAGAGAGAGAGAGAGAGAGGGAGGGAGAGGTAATGTGCAGTCCCCAGGTGGCACAAACAGGTCATCTCTGGACCATCAGCTAAAAGATTGGCAGTTCAACCTGAGTGTCCCAGAAGAAGGGACCTGCTTCACGGGTCACAGCTGGGCCGTCCGTGGAGTACAGTCCCGCCTCGACACCTAGGCCCCCACCCCGGGTGGGGATCCACTCAGTGGCAGCGAGCAGCCAAGTGCCACTGACAGGGCAGCGAGCGTGACAGGACGTGGACCCTTGGACGAAGTGACATCCATGTGTGGCGCCCACAAGGGAGGGGCCAACCAGGTGCAGCCGGGAGAGGTGGCCACGTGGGGTCAGCGCCCAGAGCAAAGGCCTGTGACCAACAGGGTTTTGGGGGGAGGAGGATGAAGAGGGCCTGCAGTGTCCAAGTGGCATTTGCTGAGCCCCCACTGAGCACATCAGTCCTACTGCTGCCCGGCTGCTGCTCCTCCAGGCCCTCCCTGGTCTCCTCCGCTCCAGGACACAGGGGTGCTGGCTGCCTCACACAGCTCCCCAGAGCTGGCCATGCTGGCCTGCTGTGCCCTGAGAGGGCTGGAGCCTGGGGGGGGG